GTTTGAAAGCCGGGGCTTGGAAACGGACAGTTTTCTTTGACGTCTTGCCGCTTCTTGTGATCGTCTCTTCTGGAGCTGGAGTGCCCGTCGTAGAGTTCTTCGGGGCTGGTATAACCGGTGTGGCTTTAGGTTCGTCCTGGTCAGCCAACATGTATGCCGGTTTGATTCTGTCTACTGTTACGTGGGCGGTCTTTCCGTTAATCCGTAACTTGGAGTATTTGTCTGTTCTGCTGAGGATTTCATACGGGCCGTCGTAGCTTGGTTGCAGGGACGCTTTTGGTGCGTCGTGCCTGAGGAACACGTGCGTTGAATTTGGCAGGTCCTTATGTTCGAAGACGGCCGGTGTACCATGCCTCTTTACTGGCTGTGGTCGTAGATCTCTCATGGCTTTCTTCAGCTGCAGTATGAAGTCGCTCAAGCTGCTGGTCTCCTGTGGAGTTTCCTGTAAAAATGCACCAGGTAGTCTTAATGTCTCACCGTATACGAGTTCTGCTGGTGTTGCTTGGAGATCTGCCTTATATGCTGCTCGGATCCCCATCATGATGACTGGGAGCACTTCTGTCCATGCCTCCGTTGCGTGGCACTTGATTGCAGTCTTCATCTGCCGGTGTAAGCGCTCGACCATTCCATTGGCTGCTGGATGATAGGCTGTGGTATGTATATGCACCGTGCCTGTTATTTTATTCAACTGACGGAACAGGTCGGCTTCAAATTGCCTACCCTGGTCCGTAGTGATGCGTGTGGGTGTGCCGAACCTCGAGATCCAGTGTGTGAAGAGGTTGTGGGCAACTGTCTCTGCGGATATATCTGTCACGGGAATAGCTTCAGGTCATCTTGTGAATCTGTCGATTGCTGTGAGGCAGTATCTGTATCCTCGAGACAACGGTAGTGATCCTACCAGGTCTATGTGTATGTGTTGAAAACGTCTTGTGGGGCCGACGAATTGTCCTACAGGCGAATGCGTGTGTTTGTGGACTTTCGATTTTTGGCAGGCGAGACAGGCACTCATCAGGCAGCCCTGACAGGGCCCTGACAGTAAATATAACATCGAGAATTAAAATTGCCTGATCAGGTTTTCTTTATCAAGACCTCATGACTTGCCCTTTGTTGCGCCTTACAGTTTCTAATAGGGAGTGGGACATCAATAGGCTTTCTATT